TTAAGCACAAATTCATTTGGGAATATGTTAATAATAAGTTTAAAACATTAAACAGACATAATGAAGCAGTTATAAATGAAAGCAAACTAACCACTAATTAGTCATGAATATTATACAAAGATAAAAACATTTCCCCAAACAAAATTACATTTATTAAATTAGTACAAATTGCCACACGGTGAACTTTTTGCTTCTGGGGCCCTCAGAGCACTTTGGTTAATCCAGCTTTGAACAACAAACGGGAAGAGCAGGTGATCAAACATCTGGTGGAGAGAGCAAATTGTTCAGGCTGAATAAATGAGGAGGGTTAAATAATTGCAAGCTGGGACCAGATTTGTAAAATAATGTGTACATTCAGGTCTTCAACTCTGTGTTTATACTAACGCAGAGATATCAATATGTACACTGTATTTATCACATTGATAAAGCACAGGCCTCACATGGGTCTGTCTCATACATCTCATTATTGTGAAAATGTTCACATATGCACAGACCACACTAAGAGGAATAAGATGATTTTAACCATAAACTTACTGTATTTAAGGGATTAAGACAGACTTTTAAGTAATCTTTCAGAACACTGTTTGGACATGAAATTTACTTAATTTTCAGTTCTAATATTTTGATAGACATGTAGCTGTCAGTCATGTCCTGCTAACTGCACCTGCTAATAATTTGTGAGCTGAAGATGAGGCTCCATACAGCGCTGCGTAAAGAGACCAACATGCATGCACATTAGTTTGAGTTTGTCTTACCAGCTGGGTATAGCTGAAAAAGTGCGTGACTTCAACGTGGCCTCAGAGGGCATTGGTTCCCAACCTAGAGGTCCAAACCCCCACTAGGGGTCGCCAAAGCTTCACAGGGGGTTGTGAGGCCTTCTTCATGTTAAGGGGTGTGAAAAAATAAATTCTTTAAAAAAAGATACAGTAGGCCTCGGCATTTTATTCATTTCCAACACATTCTAACTCCGACCTTGTCACATATTGACATTTGGTGATGGACTTTCCACATCCACATATGACGTTAAAGGTACCCTGGGTGCGTTGGTTATTGACCTTCTGGGACACTGTGTCAAGTTCTGCCTGTTACATGCATTGTCTTCTTTCAAAATACACTTCCGTTTTCACAGGAAATTTAACGTTTACATATAGTCTCTTTCAAAATAAATGCAAATTGACTTTTTTTTCCTTAAACAACAAACCCACATGGTTACATTTTGCCAGCACTTGCACATGGTTGGGTTTAGTGAAAAAAGAACAGGGTTTGGTTTTACACTCTTACGGGAAGTGAACACTGGCCTCCTGGGTGAAAGTCAGTGGTTGTTTGACCCAGTCACCACCCCTCCGGCCCACCCTACTTTGACTTCCGTCGCTTTAACTTTCATTGCTGTCCCGCCACGTTTCCTCCTGATGTTGCCGAGCTCTGTTAAACAATAACAGCATCTGAATGTGTACCATGCCGATATTAAAGGATAGCTTTATTCATTCACTGACAAAGTGCCGGTTTTCGATGACTTGGAAGTGAGACGGTCATTTCGGTGAAGAAAACTAAATTAAATTGTTATTTTCTAAGTTTGGATTATTATTTAAGATATTAACTGAAAAAATTATCTCAGGAAAAGGACAGAGTGTAGCTATATTCACAGAGCCTACACTTTCTGCTAAAAGCCTCGTCCTGCAGTGGAAAAATAAGATACGCAGTTAAAACAACCAAAGAGCTAATAGATCAATGGCCAAATGTCAGAGTGATGAAAACACTGAAGTTATCCAAGAAGAAGCCATGTATAAATACAGAATAATACAGAGAATCTATAAAGTTACCAAAAATATGACAGAAATTCATTACTGATGGAATATTTACAGGATAATATGCACTCAAAATTCAACAAAATTGCTCATTTAACTTAAACTTCCTACAGTTATTGTTCCCACTATTTGGCTAATTGTACAGTTTATCATTTGTGGTGTACTGTCATTGTTATATATTGAATATCATATGAAATATCTACAAAATATGTCACTTAGTTAGTTCACACAATCATAAAAGGGAAATGAAAATGTGTTAAATAAGAGTCTGAAGGTTGATTGTTTTTTATTTCCTGAGGTTTTCGTTGCAGTTTTTGTAACCTTGATGTTGCAATTTTGTGGCACTGCTGGATGTTGTACCAGTGAAGCAACACGAGGTTTAAGAAACAGTCTGGCGAATAGAAGGAAGTGGGCAGAAAAACAGACGGAGACGTAATGTGAAACAGAGCGGGCATGAATAGAGAGATAAAGAGAAAGAGAGAGCTTTATTCATGCTGTCCCATAAAGTGAAGATATATGAATGAGGGCCTCTAAATGCTTTTCTGTTCCCCTCTCTTTGATATCCGTGTGTGTGTGTGTGTGTGTGTTTGACTTCATAATGACCTTAATGGCTGTGGTAATAGTACAGTTTATGTTTATTTTCATGCCAGCGTCTGTGTGTGTGTGTGTGTGTGTGTGTGTGTGTGTGTGTGTGTAGAATATTTGTTTATTTGGGTATGTGTGTGTGTGTGTGTGTGTCACCTACCTGTAATCAGTAGTGTTCAGTTCACAGACACACACCCTCAACCTACACACGCAATTACACCACATATGGTCACCACATGTAGCAGCTGTGAACACTGTGTGTGTGTCCGTGTGTGTAGGTGTGTGTGTGTGTGTGTGTGTGTGTGTGTGTAGGCCACCACCCTTTGGACATAAAAAAAATAACTGCAGGTGGATGGGACATTAAGTACATGAACTCACCATCACACACACACACACACACTGAAGTAACACAATGAAGTCATTTAGCCTACATTAAACTCTTTTTGCTCTAAAGAAAAAAAAAGACTGGTTGGTCTTTTTCAGTTTTCACACACACACACACACACACAGAGTCCGTGAAATGAACCATGAGGTCAGATTTTACACTGCGAGTTTCAGACAGACTGAACCCCAGCAGAAGAGACGTTTTCTCTCTGTCTGTTATTGATGTCATGAATTTCAGTTGTTCATCTGTGTTGGATTTTCAGCTCCATGTTTTTATAGAGAACCTGTGTTAGCTTCTGTTCCTCCAGCTTTCAGTCTCAGTGCGTTCTCACCAACAGCTTCTTCCATCAGGTTTTTGAACATCTGAATCAGGTTTCTGTGTTAACATTAGTGAAGGGCTCTCTCTGCCAAATCCAGAGCGTTGAGTTGTCTGGACACGGTTCTCAATATGAAGGTGGCTGAGCCGGTAGCTAGCAGCTAACAGTGCTAACTCCGTATATAGCAGTAACCAACGGCAACAATGACAACAGAGCTACTGGTGTTGACCGGAAGGTTGGCACTTTGCTTTTGCAGCAATGCTGTCTTGAGATCAGCTGTAACAGCTGTATGAGTGCAGTGCAAAGTGACAGTGATGAGCTAACCAGTGGGATACTCACGTGCACTAACATAGTGGTTCCCAACTGGTCCAGCTACGGCGTCCAGATTTCTTCTTAGTCATTATTTCAAGGTCCACACGGTTTGATATATTCAGTGCCATACTTGTGTTTGGCCATGTTGCTGAGCTAGTTTGCTGTCTCTGTCAAGTAGCTGTCCGTCACTCACTCTGAGTGACGGACAGCTACTCACTCCCACTCACTCTCACTCCGCTCTGAAGCGGAAATGGCACTTCAAAATAAAAGCTCTGTGCTGGAAATTGTGGAGTCTGTTTCTGACAGTGTGGTCAGAAACATGCACACCAGTAGCCTGCTGGAGGTCATTTTGTAGGGCTCTGGCAGTGCTCCTCCTGTTCCTCCTCACACAGAGGAGCAGATACTGGTCCTGCTGCTGGGTTAATGCCCTTCTACGGCCCTGTCCAGCTCTCCTCGTGTAACGGCTGGTCTCCTGGTATCTCCTCCATGCTCTTGAGACTGTGCTGGGAGACACAGCAAACTGGACTACCTGTGCAACCTGATTGGGCTGCAGGTAGCACCTCATGCTACCAGTAGTGACAAGGACACTAGCGGAACACAAACTAGAGAAGAATCAGTCAGGAGAGAGCAACTGTCTGTGGACACCACATGTAAAACCATTCTCTTTTTGGGGGTTGTCTTGCTTTTGTCTCTCCATTGCACCTGTTGTCACTTTGATTTGCACCAAAGCAGATGAATTCACAGTCACTTGTGCTTCCTAAATGGACACATTGATATCCCTGAAGTTTAACTGACTTGGTGTTACACTGTGACCATTAAGTGTTCCCTTCATTTTTTTGAGCAGTGTATGTACACACAGCCAGAACGGCTTACCACAACAAACCACAGAGAAGCTCATATTACAACACACAGAGGTAGCGTGACTTCAGTTTCTGCTCAGGGTGCAATACAAAACTAATAGTGGTTTGTTGCTATATTAGTGCTCTGAATGTTACACACATAACCTTTAATATTCCATATTATAATAAAATGGGATGATAATCTAAGGTAAACGAGTCTACTGCTGTACTGGGCAGTAATATGTGACCTTTTTTTAAATTATTATTATTTTATTTTAATGATTTATTTTAATGATTAAAGATTATTTTGGTATTTTGGGATATTTTGGTTCATTGCTATTTGTAGGAGAACATACAAACAGTTCATGAGAACAGCCGGATCGAGATGAGACTGAGTTGGACTGCTTCTATGTGACATCATGAAACAGACTTGTAGTAAAAACCTGAGCTCATGAAATGTAGGTTAGTTTATGAGGCTGCTGGAGGCCACGACAGACTCCCGATGTTTTTTTTGTTTACTATAATTTAACATCTGAAAAGTCAGATGGTAATGATTTTGTGATGTTTACCTGCAGACGCTCACTGTATGTTTATACTGATGTGTCGACACAGATACTTAACGGTAGAGTAAATGCAAACAGAGTAAAGAACATGACGCATCATTGCCCTGGTAATAAATATATTTACATCTACTGTGTGTATCGGCGTGTGTTTGCTCTGTCAATAGTTACTTCCTCCTTAACCTGCTGTGTTCTCAGCTGATGGGCTTAGCAGTTTACAACAGCATCGCTCTGGACATCCACTTCCCCCTCTACTGTTACAGGTAGGTGTGTGTGCGTTGGACTGATGGAGTAGAACAAGCATCAGCTCAGGTTTTTCAGACATCCACTTAGATGACAAATGTTGCTGTTAACCATGTAGAAATCTTTCCTTTATGCTTTCTGATCCAACCCCAAGAGGAATGTTTTGGGAGAGTGTAGTGTAACTAGTTATTTAGTTTGTTTGTTTATTTGTACCCTGAATGTGTGTCCACTTTTACAGGAAGCTCCTCACTCCACCTACTGTACCATGTGACCAAAATGCACTTATCGGCATGGCAAACGCCACCCTGGACGACCTGCAGCAGATCATGCCGGTATGTGTCTGTAGCTTAATACTGGGTTAGGGTTAGGGTTAATACTGAATGTTACTGGTTTGAATCTTAGACTGTGTGTTAAAATGACAGTATAATGAGATACAACCATAAAGTAAGACTAAGGGGGCGGCCTCTAGCTCACTTGGTAGAGTGTGTGCTCCGTATTGGCTAAGTCCTCTGCAGCGGCCGCAGTTCAGCTCCAGCCTGCAGCCCTTTGTTGCATGTCAGCACCCCTCTCTCTCCTACATTTCCCATCTATCTGAGCTGTCCTGTCAATAAAGGCATTGCAAGCATTTAACAGCAGCCCTGCACCACAGCTAAATGATGACTTTTTTTCCAACACAAATCAACAGTGGAAATAGAAAAGCCATTGCAAAGTACTTGAATTAAGCGTGTGTGTTGTAAAAATCATACAACAGCATATACGAGGACAAATTGAGGACAAATAACTTTGTTTACCATTCACAATGTGCGCAGCCATCTTCGTCGTGACATCATTTCTACCGATTCAGTCTACCTGGACCTTGCCCAAGTTTGATGATGAGACCTCCGGGTAGAACAGGTGTTCTTTTGTACCTTTCCAGACCGGAAACCGTATCAATCCTGGTTCCGGCTACCAATAGAATGCAGCTATAGAGTGCCGAAGTCACGCCCCTTCTGGTAGAGCTCATGGGACTCTTTGGGGAAAGCTACTGATACATTAGCAACCTGGAAAACAAAAGGACTATCCTCCTCCTGTTTTGGTGAGATGAATCTCCTCCGTTACTGCCGTAGATCAAGCTTTTATTCTACCAGGTGATCATACCTGATAGCAGACAGAATTGCACAGTGAAAGTGAGGCGTTTAGGTAACCAGTCTAGACACAGATGGTGTCATTATTCTACACCCATTACATTATGCAATCAATATTTACTTCATAATTTAGTGAAAGCATAAAAAATCCTCTTCCTCTTTAAACGACTTTGCAACAAAACCGCAGCAGCGTTTATGTTTTCTTTGTTGATGCATATTATTTAGGCGGTAGAAACCCCTAAAACCTGAAAAGGAAAACCAAAGATCACCCACAGAATATTAACCTGCACATACACCCTCACTCTGGCTCTAAGAAAATGACATACTCAGTCTGAGTTGTGTTAAAGATCAAGGCCTTAAACTAAAAAGCTCATTTTTTTAATCCACCTCTGGCAAGCTTACACTTGCACTTTGCTGTTTTGTCACTAGATGGTGCTAGTGTTAAACATTTCATCTCTCTTTGCTCACCCTCACCCTGCTAATCCCTCTAAGCAGCGTCTTTGTAGAGTCTAAATTTAACCTCATGTGTTGCCGTCAGAGTGAAGATGAGCTCCCACCAGAGAATAGATTCAGCTGCGTGAACTTTAAGTCCCACCCTGACATTTAGTTTGTCTTCTGCTCCAACGTTCACCATGCTCTATACAAATGTAACATATAATGTTTTTAATATTTCTATAACCACATTTTGTACAACAGTGTACTCGCCTCCAGCCATGCACACTCACTGTCTGAATAATAGTTGAGAGTATTTGTTTAGGTAACATATAACACGCTGATGATGTAACAAAGAGTTAGAAAGTTTTGTTTCACTTGTTGAGTGTTCCCAGATGTGAAGCGTATTCAACCTCTACGACTCACTTCCTTGTGTTTCTCCTCTCTCTCTGTCTCTCTCACACACACCCCTGTAAAAATTTCAGTCCTGACCATACACACACACACACACACACACACACACACACACTTGTAATTACACTCAGGCGTGCCAATGTATGCATCACAGTACACATTGTACTCACATTGGGTTTTTTTGCATTGTGATCTGACGGTAGAACAAAACATGCAGCTGAACAACAAGTGTGTTTAAATTTTTGGATTATAGGAACAGGATTACATCCCTTAGTGTTGTTTTTGGATGCAGTTAGGAGATTTGCAGTTTGACGAAAACATTTGCAGAACAAAAACTCATTTTGAGAGGTTTTTTTTAAAAAAAAAAAAAAAAAAAAAAAAACATTTTTATTTGAATCTAGGGCAAAGTTTGAGTACATTTGAGTAATTGAATTTTCTGACCATGTTATAGATGCAGCTGTTAAGTAAGACTGAGATTCTTTTTTTCTGAGCAAGGCATTAACCTATACACACCTGCTGCAGGGGGGCGACACTTGTAGTCTGCAGCTTAGTGAAAATACTGTGCTCACTCTTTGTCCTCACTTTGCAACAGAGACACACTGTGTGACCGATGAAATGATTCACCAGTATTGTGCAGCAAAGATCCTCAACTTTCTCTTGACATTCGCTCAATGTTACCCGATCCTCAAGGTGTGTCACATCCAAAACCTTCCTCGCAGTGAAGGTCGACACTCTGGATCTCACCAGGAAACGTGCATATAGACACACACAGTGGGAAGCTAAAACGAGCCCCGTGGTTGCGTAACAACAGGATATTAGATATGAGCTCTGCAGCCGGTGTCAACTTCGTAACAGTGGTGACCACGGGCAAGAAAAATATTCAAAGTTGTTCAATAAATAAATGAAGCTGTACAAACGAGTGCAGCTTTGTTGGCTTGCTGACATGTTCATATCATTTGAAACTGTGATTTAACCAGTGATTTGTCGCCAGACCTCAGGCCAGACTGCAGCATTTGAGACAGCTTGTCGCTTATCTTCTTAAATTGGTATTCTGTCTGAAGAGCATGTGATTGAAGAGCCTTTTCATACCTAACATGAAGTGGAAGATGAGAATCTTTTCAGCTCTTCAATGGTCTGAAAGCTGTTTTCCTCATTAGATACCTTTCTTGTCGACTGAAAACGTGGCACGCTTTTCTCTGTTTAAGAGGAATCACTTGTCTGATTCTGATTCTCTCAGTTGATTTGGGGCTGAGACAGTGAGCTCTTTGTTCCATTACTGTCTGCTGTTGTTCCAGTAGATGTTTCCTGATCCTGAACTCTTGTGTGTGTCGGCAGGAGCTGGCTCATGGTTTGGGAGAGCTGCTGAGCTACGAGGGAAACGTAGAGGACGACTTCTACCTCACCTTCCAGGTACAGAGATGCACTTAAAACTTGGGTAGGAAGTTCATGATGCACAGGTTAGTTGAATCTAGCAACAGCAGAAGAAACTTATTTGTTACGTCTATTTTTAGTCGCTTTTAAAGCATAAAAGTAGCCTACAAAAACAGCCAAAATATGTCACTTACATTAAGAAAGCTAAGAAGGAATTGACTCTTTTTCGTTGTCATCTCGTCAAGTTTAAAGTTTGCAAATCATTACTTAGTTGCCAAGTTTTTATTTTTATTTTATTATCACTGTTGTTAATGATGTGAGAAAAACCTGAGCTCATATAAAACTCTTCAAGGGACTCTGTTAAGAGTCAAGGCACACACACACACATACACACACACACTACAGATGTCATGACTACAGTGTCTCGGCAGGACTGACGATGCTGACAGACAGCTGTGACTGCTGTCACCGCAGTGTGATTTTAATAACGTTAATTCGAGACCAGAGGGCGATCTATAAAAGACTCACTGATGTCACACTGCAGATTTATTTAACTAAATGTAGAGTTTCAGTAGGCGTGAACAGTTCCAATTATTACACATATTTAAACAAAGTAATTTAAAGCAACAAGTGGGGGTTAGTGGGGTATCAATTGAATGCCTGGGCAGATTACTAATTTTGTTGTTATAGCCATGGAGCTATGAAGCTATGGAAAGTATTAGGAGAAGGCATAAAGGGGAAAAAAACTGATGAAGTTTAACTTTCACTTTAAGTGTCAGGCACAAATGTATTTATTTATTTACTTTTTTGACATTTTGAGAAAAAAGTCAAAATATAAAGAATAAAGTCAACTCTTCCAGTCCATCAAATTCTGTCTTGCCATTAGGGTTGCAGTGATTTACCAGTTTTAAGGTAAACTGTGATATAAAAGCTGATGCACGTTTGCTTATCTACGATGTTGAAGGAAAAAAAAGCAACTGGACAGAGAATCTCCCTTGTACTGTAGTTATTTTCAAAGTGGAGACTTTTTATACAAACTTCCAATTAAAAAATTGTTTCAATTTTCAGTTATAGTAATAAAGCATTTGTTCAACCAAAATAAACCTTCCATTTTCATTCCTTTAAGGGTCGTTGTTACTGAAAATAATATTACAGTAACACCATGATACTGTGAAATTGGGATATTTTCTGAGACGGTTATTTTACCATTAAAATCTCACACCACTGCAGTCCTGCTTGCGATACAACACATCATCTCTGTATTGCACTCAGGTGTAGCCATTGATACATTTGCATTAGTCCTTTACCAGCTTTTTCTTTTTTTTAAATCCACAGTGTGTAGGAATTTCTCCCATCTAACGTTGAAATCATATATTGCGTTCAAACGGATAGCGCACTCTAGCGCCTCACTGTTTCAAATGTGTATTGCAACAATGGTAGCTGCTGTGTACCAAAAAGCTATGATAACACTGATGAAACCATGTCAGCCGATACTACAAGGAGTATTCATTCAGGCTCCTACACAGACACACGCGACGCGAGTTGACAAACCCCCTCCTCACCATGCTGGCTGTGTTTACAACGTAGGACTGTTGGGGTGGGTGTAAATCAAACAAACCAATCACGTCTTGTCTTTTGACAACTGACAAGTGGCTCAACCTCACACACCTCATCCCTCTCCTCGCATTACTGCGCCGCTAACAGCTGTTAGCGACCAGCACCACTAAGAGCGGCTAACCGCTAACAGCTAACAGCGCTTTCTTGGCGACGAGGATTCCTTCTCCCGTGATGCTGCATATGCATGATCCTGCATTATGCTCAAAGAGTGGGACTTTGTTATGTTGCAGTAGTGCCAGGGTAGTAGCAAAGCGCTCCTCTCCTTCAGCTTCTCAGTCACGCAGTGCTGGCCTGGCTCTCAACGAAAGAGCAGAAGGCGGGGCTGTATGTCCCTCGCTGACGGATGTATTCTCAAGATGGCGAAACGTTATGGAACCACCTAGACGATTTACCTGCACACTGTACAAACAAATCCGAAATTCTCCTATTACGAGAATATGTCAGATTAGTGGTAGTCTGAGTGGGCGGAAATTCGCTGCATAGATCAGCCTCTCATTGGGTGGAACGAGCCACCTGCTGAAGTCCCGCCCTACCACCTCCGGTTTTGTAGCAGTTTTCAACTGTTTTCAACACGTCCTTTACTAACTTTTGTGGTGTTTGATCTTGCGGGGATGTAGCCATTTTTCTGCCATGGTTCGCATCCTGTAGGTGATATTTTTGTGGGCGTGTTACACCAAAACCTGTTTCCCCCCGGCAATATTTTTGCAAGCGCACCATTGCTGTGGCACCGCTCAGAACGATTGTGATTGGTTGAAAGAAATACAAGCAACCGGGGCGTTTTTTTCTCCAATCTTAAAGTGAGAGTTGGCCCGGCCAAACCTTTCTTTTCTTGAGAAAGGTCTGGTGAGCAAGACTAGATTATTGGTGGAGGTACACCAATGATGACATATTTATGAATGCAGACATCGATTTTTACCAATAAACAACTGAAAATGTTACACGATGTCCTTTTAAGTTTGTGTGGTTTCTTCCCCCAAACAGACGCAATTTTTGGCACAATCTCTTTAAAGTCCCAACACTTGTTACTGCACTGTGTTTATGTGCTAAAAGACCCAGGGGTGCTGTGAAACTGTGCCTATGTGGGACAACAAAAAAGTTTGTTGTGGGTGCATCTGCACATTAGACAAACAAGAGAGGAATGACGAGGACGAGGAGCAGTGATGATAGTCAAGGACTGAAACGTAATCATTCACTTTGAGCACCTTTTTGTCCACAGATGTCTTAAATAAATAGACTATTGTTGCATTGACCTCAGCCTGTGGATCTTTTTTATGGCTCTCTAGCTCATGTCAAGTTTATTCTCTACATTTTGACTTTAATTTTGAAAGGCCAAAAAAAAATCCCCTTCCTCCTCTGATTGAAAGCTGACTAATGAAATTTTGACTTATATCTCTCACTGCAAAAAAAATTAATAGAAATAAAAAAATATAACAATAATAATAATAATAGTAATAAATAAAATTGAAAATAAATAATAAAAAAATAAATCGTTCTCCTCTCATTTGTTTTTCCTTATGTATGGACCTAATTCTCTGTTGTACTGATCAGATAGTTCCTGATTTTAAGCATAATTTTGCCAATTTTAGACTTTTACTTTTATGTAAGCAAAGTGTTGCATGGCTGCGTGTGTTTAGACAACAGCTTCAAAATCATTTAGTAGAAAAACAAGTTAATAGTTCTCATATAAATGTATCATAAAGGCATGTTTCCTTACTGCAATTGAAAACATTTAAACATTACCAGCCCTAATTATTTTCCTTTAGGGAAAATGGATGACTAAATGTGAACTAAATAGAAGCTTTGTTCATGTTTTCTTTTGACGGTAATGAATGGAGACCTTCTGATGATGGCCTACTGATTATAGCTGCTCGGTGTCTGTAAACAACTGTGTTTATTTTTAACAAGTGCAGTCTGATCTGTGCAGACCATCTTTATACTTTCACCTTAACTGAACTCAAACTTGAGTGAGCCATTATACTTACCGCGATGAGAGGAGGATAACACTACATTTCCTTAGAGAAGCACTGCAGACTGCTCCAAACATGGTGGTCTTCCGGGTTAGATATCTGTACTGATTATCAGTGTCAGACAGGAATGTTTACCTACCTTCCTGGAACTAAATACACGATTGTTATCTGTCAGTGCTGTTATTATGGCGGCATCCTCCCACACACTTAAGTATCAGTTTATCTCCTCTGCTAAGGGGGTTGTGTTTTTTTGGGTCAGTTTGTTTGTCTGTTTTTCAGCAGGTTTACTGAAAAAAACTACTGGACAGATGTTCATATAATTCAGTAGAAGGGTGCAACACAGGCCGAGGAAGAACCTATACATTTTCAGAATGGATCCAAATCATGGGGCGGTTAACACAAATTATTTTTCACTTTCATTAAAGCTACAGTGGGCAACTTTTATAAAAAATTTAAAAGCAGGAATGAGTTCACTCTCACTTCCCTCTTCTTGAGGTCATTGTTTTTTTTTGACCACGTTTTTGGGTAAATGCCTAAAATAAGCTCTGTGGCTAACACAAGCTTAAGAGACTCTCACAAACACCCCACTTGCTATTCTGAAGCCTTTATGTCACTTTAAAAAGACAGTTGCTAACAATGGAAAAATCCCTTTGGCTTTTTGTTGAGGGAACCAGGCCGATGTTAACTTTCGATTTGGCCTGCAAATACATGTCATGCCTTCAGCACTCTGTAGTACGTGCCACAGATTATCTGTGAAAAACACAGGGGATTCTTGCCATTAGAAGCTCTACGAGGAGCCAGAGGAACCGTATTTTTTACAGATTATCTGTCTCATGTGCTAATGTCAGAATATCGTGACAGTTTCAGGAAATATGACAAAAAGTTCTGCTTTATAAAACTTACCTACTGTAACTGTAAAGGTCCAGTGTGTAGGGTTTTGGGGGATATATTGGCAGAAATGGAACTCATATAATAAGTATGTTTTATTCAGTGGATGATCACCGGAAAAAAAAGAATCATTGTGTTTTCGTTACCTTAGAATAAGCCGTTTATATCTACATAGGAAGTGGGTCCTTGTCTATGGAGATCGCCATGTTGCACTGCCATATTTCTACAGTAGCCCAGAATAGACAAACCAAACTTTGGCTCTAGATTGGGCCATTCACATCCACCTGAGCATCTGGATCTAAAGTTATCAGAGAAAAAAGGTGAACACTGGTGTCAGAGTGTCTGGAATGGTGTCAGAGAAACACTGGTTTGCAACATGAAACTGGTTAATTCAGTGTTTTTTACCAGTTTAAATCACCTGGTGTGTTAATTTTGGAGAGGAAGAGACCTCTGTGGATAATTCAGCTCCTGGTAAAAACCTCCTGAACGATTATCAGTGAAGGAATTCTAACTAGAAGAAGTTTCAGCTGGTTGCAATGTGCAATCCTCACCACTAGATTCATCTAAACCCCCTTAATCTTACACATTGGATCTTAAACATTGCAAGAGCACGCATGTTGCCATGGTGGAGCTCTCTATACTTTTACTGCAAACAACACAAAGGAGTTGCACATTGATTTACATGTCATAAAAGCTGCCCCAAATCCAGCCATTGTAGTCCATAGTAATCATCTGCAACATCACCATGCCCCTCACACTGCGCTTTCCCTTACATGACATAAGCATGTTATGTAGAGGCCTGTCAGACCAGACTGTTCTCTGCTGCAGGGCGTAGTAACCAGATACAGTGGAACACTTTATGGTGCAGCTGAGGTTATATATGAAGGCGGAACATATGTGAGAAGAAACATTATGCAAGAGCTGAGCGGAGGTGTTATTTTAACCCACAGTGTGAGCTGACTGTGGGCTATAGGCTGGTCACAGTCGCACCACTGTGGCACAGATAAACCCACTGACCCACAGCACACTGGGTCTCACTCTCGCTGTGTCTCCCCAGTTTATTCTGTGTGTTTGTACATCCATTTGTGTCTCTCGAACTGTATTTATACACCTCTATTTTTCGCACACATATTAGCTTGTACTGCAGCGCTTGCAAAAGCCCCCACTGACATATTTCAATCCCTATAGCCTCCTAACCTAAACCTAATTCCAGCCATAACCCCAACTTGTATTTATGCACCACATATGAGATGTTGACACACATTTTGGGGAATATGCTTACTCCCTGGTTGATAACAATGCTGTCTTTACGCTTAATATAAAGCTAGAGCTCACCTAAAGCTTGTTGGTTTAACCCTACGTTAATAATAGCACAGTACGATATTAAATTTAACCCTACATTTATAATCCTACAAAAACCAAAGTGTTAAAATGACAAGTTGTTCTGTGTTGGAAAGTAGGCCACCATTTTCCTTTGAGATAATACCAAGTTTGTGAAGTTCTTTATCACCTGTGTGACATGCTTTGTGTCTCTGTGTGTGTTCCAGGTGTTCCAGGAGGAGATGGGCGTGGTGAAATCCCACAACCTGAAGCCCGGAGGAGACAAAATTCCCGTCACTAAGCAGAACAGGAAGGGTGAGTCCACACTCAGGGTCACAGCAGTGAGTGTTTCATGACTTTATCCATGACTGATTCAGGAGTTTATCAAACGTGCTCACTGGCACACACACACCACCATCATACCTGCATGAACCTGCATCCTGCTGAGTGCTCAGGCTGGAATGCAAACATTAAATTCAGAATGAATTGCTCCACAATGCAATACCAGCATCCACACCGCCACCAAGTACTACTCCCAGCTATATGCGGTACCAGTTTCACGTGTCTCCTTGATGTTTAAAATACCCACGTCTCAGTACGAATGGCTGCAGTGGTTCATTTTATGTTAGGAAACTTTATATCTTCTAGAAGTTCAAACTCACAGTGAGGAACATGAGCTGGGGCCTGTCTGGGTTACAGTCGCCTCTTACCTCTGACATATTCTTCTGCAGAAAATCAGTCTGAAACTATAAACATGAGAGGAAAAAAAGGATTGTTAAAAGGTCCTTCCCTTGTAGAAATTATGCCCTTACATGGTCATGACAGCAGCAGCCACCCTCTCCGTCATTGATGCGAACCTCTGGGCACAGCTGGTGTATTTACATTGGAAACTCTTATCTGTGGTGCTATTTATCAGTCTAGATTGTTTTGGAGTGAGATGCCAAGTGCTGAAGTTACCGCACATCAAGATGTCTGTCCTCTCGCTCTAATATAATGGAACTAGGTGGCACTCGGCCCATGGTGCTCAAAGCACCAAGGAAATATTTTGCGATGTCTCTTTCCAGAAATCATGACCCAGTGACTTGAGATAATCCACAAACCTTGTTGTGAGCAGTTACATGTAGCGTACATCTCTGTACATCTGCTGCTAGCTCACCATGCATCACTAAGCCAGCTAACATTACAGCTCAGCTCAGGAGGACGCCAGTACAATTACATCTCGCTCTGTCATGAGCACGAGCCTCTCATCCATGAATAGATGCACACTTCCTTCTGCCCGGTGATTCATTGGTGGGTGTAATTCGCTGGAAGGAAAATAGTTCCTATGAAACTGCCCACAACAAGGTCTGTGGATTATATTGAGTAACCAGGTCATGATTTCTGGAAAGAGACATTGCTGTTGAATTTTTCAGATGTATTTTTGTGGCCCTTTGAGCACCACAAGCCGAGTGCCAGTGCCTAATATCAGACAGAATTGCCAACTTATATTGTTTCCATTTTCCTAACCAATCACAACAGACTAAGGTATCTGCCTAAATCTAGCGTCATTGTAAGTCCACACTGATGTGTAGCCACGCTCACACGCTTGTTTTGCCAGGAGTTTAAAGGCCTTTGCACACTGAGTCTGTTTATTCGTTCTAATTTGCCGCACATTTAAAAATGAATATGACCTCATGTTGTGTCAATCTTGTTTGAACACTGAGTCCGAAACTTCCATCCATCATTAAAATTTTAGGAACAGAGCCTTTGGAGTCGTTTGACCAAGAATCAGTGAAGAACATCCGCAACAAGCAGAGGAGCAGGGTGCACAGAATCATTTCATTACTCAGATAGCTACTTTCAGCAGGTCAGATAGTGATATTCAGGTGGACGATGATGAAGAGGAGGAGGATGTGGACCACACACAGAATGTGGAGGACAGCTCCGCCCCTTCATGCAGCTGCAGTGCCAAATGAAAGACAGGGAAGGAGTGGTGACGGCCAGATAGGTAAATGTGTCTTTTCATTTGTCACGTATTTCGAATTTTCGCAATGAATAAAACAATCAAATGCATCAGTATCACTCTGCAAGATTTCTGTGCAGATGACGGATTAAAAAAAGGCATCCAAAAAAATGGACTCAGTGTGCAAAGGCCGTAAGAGTGGAGCAGAGTAAAACAACAACAACAAAACAACAAGTAAAACAACCTACGATTTCTGCGATATTGATAAGACGTTGATTTAGATCAGCCCCAATAGCAGCGTCTGTCTTATCTCTAGCGCTCGCTACTGTTGTTATTACTCCTCTTTGGTTCCGGTGCATCCCTTGACAATGCTCAATAACAGCTTGACGACCGCTGGTTGTCAAGGTCATCAGTTGTTTATTATTTCAACCAAAAAAAACCCACTGTTTCATTTCACAATGCAAGGTGCTCTTTATGTTTTACCATCAGTACAGCACTGCACTGGTCAGAAAACTGCGGCACTGTGTGTAAAGTCTATAATCCAGTGACTGTTTAAATCCTCCTCATGTGCTGTTTGACTTCACGAGAGCAGCGACACAGAAAACTGGCTCGGTTCAAAAGCTTCTTTGTTCTTTTTAAGAGGGTGAAGTGGAGCCGAGGACGTCAGCTTGACTTCACTTATTACACCTCATTTTCCATCGAGCGGCTCTTATTGCCGTCCAGGTCCAGCGCTCTGCCACATCCCTCTGTGTGTTCAGTGGAAGAGTCCAGGCTGCGGGGTGAACGGGTAAAAGTTTGTAATGGAACATATGTAAAAATCACACCATTGTGTTCCTTCTGTCTCCACAGAGTACGTCCAGCTCTACGTCGACTTCCTGCTGAATAAATCCATTTATAAGCAGTTTGCTGCCTTCTACCACGGCTTCCACAGTGTGTGTGCCTCTGATGCGCTCATGGTGAGTCCACAGGGTTAATGAAACAGTCAGGACTTGGTTGTTTGTTGCACAAATGTTACAAGGAAACTTTCCATTAGACAGTCCTTCCAGTTTCTGGGTATTAAAGGTAAACACTGTTTGCAGTGTCTCTTCAAACATAGTTTGCTGAAGGCTGCGACCATTTTACAGTAGGTCAGTGGTACGCACTCGCTGACACCTCCTGACAATAAGTAAGCTAATTCACTGACATACAGTTAGCAGTAAGCTCCATCCAGGACAACATCACAAACAACACATGTAACATGGCAAAACAACTTTTCCCATTGCTCATTAATTATATTAGACACAATATCAGGCAAGCTTAATTGGATTTTTTAAATTCTAAATTACTGGTATTAGCCTGGCAGCATGGTGGTGTGGTGGTTAGCACTGTCGCCTCACAGCTAGAGGGTTTCTGGTTCGATCCCGGGTGTAGGAGCCCTTCTGTGTGGAGTTTGCATGTTCTCCCTGTGTCAGCGTGGGTTTTCTCCAGGTACTCCAGCTTCCTCCCACAGTCCAAAGACATGCAGGTTAATTGGTGACTCTAAATTGTCCATAGGTTTGATTGTGAGTGTGAATGGTTGTCTGTCTCTATGTGTCAGACCTGCGATAGTCTGGCAACCTGTCCAGGGTGTACCCCGTCTCTTGCCCAATGTCAGCTGGGATAGCTGCAACCCTCAAGAGGATAAGCGGTTAGAAAATGGATGGATGGTATTAGCCTCAGAAATCCAGTCTTGGTTGAGTTCTGGTAAAAATGCATAGAGGTGTTTATAGACTGTGAGGCTAGGTACTCAAGAGGATTTGATATTCACTCCTTTACTTGCTCAGATCGTTTACAGATCATCAGATTTCATCACCCTTCTCTTAAACAGCGTTGTTGTGTCAGTAAAAATATTGAATTTCCTGTGATTACACAGTCTGAGAATGTTATCAGTTGAAGATGATCACACATCATTGCACACCTGCTCACTCAGAGCGGATATGACTCAGCCGACTCAATATCAGATGGTTTTTGAAGGAAAAAAAAGAGATATCACATCAACCAACTTTCTTTTTAGTGAACTGAACCACAGCTGCCCACTCATCCAGTGACCTTACTCGGGCTTGTTTCAAGATAATCTATGAATAGGAATTTCCAGGAACCTTTGACACGTTTGTCACAGTGAAATCGTTCACCAGTCACAAGGTGCGTTTACATGGACCCTAATATTTCACTAATATTCACAACACTGGTGTAACAGTTACAACCAGAGGAAAGTCATTGTCATTAAAATATGGCCTTACCCATGTTTAAAATGACCCGTTGAAGTGAAAAAACGAGTACTGACAGGAACAGACGAGTGGAGTCGATGTTTAACCGGCGTGGAGAGCGCAGGAGAAATGCGCTGCCTCCGCGGCACTAACGCATCTGGTGTGTCCAGGCAGAGATATTGGATAAAGCAAGATACCCCACTCATCTCACTTCCTGGTTCAGTGACGTCAGCGCCACGCCCCCGTAGGAGACTTGCGGCAGCTCTGAATGTATTGTCATCAATGAGGGAAATGAACGTGATCACAATTTATGGTCAATTCTTTCGCCCTATAGTCACTAAAGTAAATATTGGGTTCATTTTCCACAAGCCACACATCTTACCAACATTCTGACACTAAAGCTGCATTTTTCATCCCCACAGATCAAGAGAAAGTTAACTTTGTTTGAGCCCTGTCCATCTCAGAAAACAAGTTCTCACGAGATCTCGTGATCTTGATAAACAGGCAGTAAAATCAGAGTTTCACAGTTAGCTTACAAACAGTTATTTACCGCTAATAATAAATTAAAAAAATGCCCAAGCTTTGTGCAGCAATAGCCTGCAATAATAGGAAGAATGTATTTTCATTCCCAAAGGAAGCAGACAGGTAATCCACAGATCCTCTGTTCAACACGAGGTGGTGGGGAGGGGATTAGGAGGGGGAGAACAGCTCTGATTGGAGGGAGAGTTAACCACGCCCACTTAGGAGACAGAAAGAGTAACCGTTTTCTTAACATTGGATAAGCCTACAGTGGGGTATCTCCTTTATCCAATATCTCTGGTCCAGGCCGTTATGTCAACAACGCTACATGAAGCAGATGAATGACTTTTTCTCTGCAGTGTGAAAACGGCAGCCACTTAAACCACTGACTGTGCACTCCACCGCCAAGTGGGCAGGGGTGGTAATTGCAACCAGTCAAAATGACCGACGGCCTTCAGATTTTCCGGTCATTGTTGTAAAAAACCGGTCAGTGACCGAGAATATCTGGTTAACGCGACCCCTGGATCAGAGAACACATCAGCGAACTGAACTTTTTGAACATATTTTTTGGGGCATTTCTTTAGCCTTTATTTGACAGGACAGACAAGTGTGAAAGGGGGAGAGAGAGAGGGAGTGACATGCAGCAAAGGGCCACAGGCTGGAGTCGAACCCGGGCCGCTGCGGCAACAGCCTTGTACATGGGGCGCCTGCTCTACCACTAAGCCACCGACACCCCAGCGAACTGAACTTTGAATCTTTCCTTCACCTCCTCCATCAGAAATAGAGTTCAGGCGGTGAATTCTGTTTGCTTTCCTCCTTAGTTAAATGTTAGCTCTCCCTGATAAACAGCTGCTGTTTCAGATCATGTTGTTGCGAGTTGAACTCTGGGGACCCCGAAGAGGCTCAAAGGCCCCTGAGGGACCCAAATATACACCGCAGAGAAAGTCACAACATACATCCAAACTAGCTGCTGCTATGTTCTCACTGCTGAGAGACATGTCTAAAATGTTCCTCTGACGTCATGGTGTAGTCTTTCAACAGAAGCACATGGAAGTGCTGGAATATAGGACCTTTGACCTCCGACCCCTGGAGTCCTGGCCTACATATTGCGTTATTTATGGTCCCAGGTCAGCTCAGTCAAGTTCACAGTGATCCATACAGGGCTGTGTACGTTTTTATTGCAGCTGGAGGCCACACCTCCGTTCTGATCTGCAGCAGAGGGAACACAGTGAAATAGCTCAGTGTGTGTGTGACTGCAGATAAGACGGACAGAGGACAGTTTGACTGCAGATTATCAGCTGAATCTGGGGCAGTGACGGGACAGGCTGATCTAAACTGTGAGGACTGAAATGGCGAGGACAAGTCTCAGCCGTACAGATGAGATAACTTTTCACCCACTTTTGACCGCCTCCAAGATGATAAGTCCCAATGTCCTCAAACGAGACCGCAATAAAGTAGTGCTGTCATTAGGGCTGCCACGATTAGTCGACTAATCTATGACTAATCGACTATTAAAATAATCAGTGACTATTTTAGTAGTCGACTAATGGGTTTGAGTAATTTTTCACAGAAAAGTACTATAAAAGTACCCCAAAATACTCTAAATGCAGCTTCTTATGTTCAAATATTGGCAGCTTTACACACTCTCCCGTGACGGTGAACTAAAACCCCTTGGTGTGAGTACGACATTAGATGACGTAATTTTGGGGTTAGGGCGAGACAGACCGACATTTTTCAACATTTTAACACATTTTTCAATGAAATGATTTGTTGATTAATCGAAGAAATAATCGACAGATTAGTCGACAATGAAAATAATCGTTAGTGGCAGCTCTAGTTGTCATGGTACCAAAATTGGGACCCACAGTATGATACCAGTGAAAATATCATGGTTCTGAGTAGTATCACGATACCACAGCAAAAATGAGGCAGATGTGCCTTTTGTCATTTATAAAAAGATAAATCACTTTTCTATAATACATCAATGATATTTCAATGGAATAAATTACTTACTGACTTATTCATACTTCAAAAACAGCATCAATAAGTGATGAACATAGGGGGGATCAATATAAAATAAATTAATAAAATAAAAATCAACCAGCCACCCTCCTCCCCTGACGAGTAAAGAACAATCCCTAAAGTGCGGTGAGGTTTGTGGACCGTTACCTGCCACACAGAGAGAAATGTGAACGGCCCGTTTCTCCTCTGACACGCCACATTCCTGTGTGCCGCCACGGCTCGGTTGTTCAGGTACTACTAGGCAGTCGTGACACCAACAAAGAGGAAATTATTGGACCTGGAGCCAGGCTTCTGGGTCGACGGTAAACCACGCTACCTTGCGCCGCGGAGCACTATGGCTGCCGTATTTGACAGGTCCGCCGTATTCCTGTCTGTGACCCCCGTTCAACCCACAACCGACAGGATTCGCCTTTCTTTTCTGCTGCTGATTGAAATCTGTACTCACACAGCGTGCTCCTGAATTATTTCATTTGCTTGCACAAAACTATTTTTAGTGGCAAATGCGAGTAAAATGCTCGCACTGTAGAGCTCTGTGGAAAACAAATCACTGTAGCATAAACAAATCTAGCCTACAAGTAAAAATAAATGAATAATAACTGTCACTGCTTAAAGATACTCAATAGCTCAGCTAATATCTGAAATGTCACTGGAAAACAAACCACTGCAGCAGCATATTGAGTGACAGGTGGCCAGCGGGCTCCATTGTTGGACGGCACATGGACACTCACCCTCTTGTGATTGGACTTTGAACTTATCCCTCAGTAGTGGTACCATGAGGTACGGTACTCCAACATTATGTTATATGTACCGTGGTGTTTTAGTACTGCGGTCTACCGTTGGTACCAGTATACCATGCAACACTACAATAAAGTCCCAGTGTCCTCAAATGAGACGATAATAAAGTCCCAACGTCCTCAAACAAGACCACAATAGAGTCTCAATGTCCTCAAATGAGACAACAATAAAGTCCCAATGTCCTCAAATGAGACGACAATAAAGTCCCAGTGTCCTCAAATGAGACGACAATAAAGTCCCAGTGTCCTCAAATGAGACAACAATAAAGTCCCAGTGTCCTCAAATGAGACAACAGTAAAGTCCCAATGTCCTCAAATGAGACGACAATAAAGTCCCAGTGTCCTCAAATGAGACAACAATAAAGTCCCAATGTCCTGAAATGAGACAATAATAAAGTCCCAATGTCCTCAAACGAGTACTACCTAATTAACAGTGTCTTAGCTTGTTATTGTTGCTGAATTCGTTGCCATATGAAACTACAAACATTATTAATCATAAATTAACAAGTTTCAACCATTAAATGTGATCAGGTTTTGGACCTTGTCCAATTTTGTTTCAGGATCGGCTGCAGACTAACTTGGCAGAGATGGCTGCCACCTTGTCTATTGTGCTCTAACTACCACTAGATGGCACAAAAAAGTGTCCATGAAGAAGACAACAGGTCTGAGTTTAGCAGAATGAAGTATAAGGTGCAACAAACCCAGAGTATCTCAGGAGGTTGTATATATATCACAACACAACTTTAAGAAGTTACACACGTATATTTGCATTATTTATTTATGTGTTGACTGGGATCAGTTCACTGTGAGGGACATGTCTGCTCTGTAGCGTCCATCTTTCAGTTTCTCATTCTGCATGTCTCTGATTCTTCTTTGCATTCCATCAGTCACGTACACACTGTCTGACTTCTGAGGATGTGATAAAGCAGCCTGTGGTTTAATTGTGGGTGTGTATGTGTATTTGGTTTGGTGCTGGTGTGTATGTTAGTTTTAGGCTGTGGTATTGTGATACAGTGTTGGGGTTTTTTTTCAGGTAACTAGTATCTCAGATGGCAACATCAAAGTCATACACAGTATAAGGGTTATCACTGCTGGTGCCATAATGTTACAAGTATTTTTATTAAGTGTGTAAACTACTGTCATTAGTATCTTCGTGTCAGAGCAACTATAGAACTATGTACTTTATAACTGAGTGTATTTCACATTTATTATTATTATTGTTGTTTTAAAGGTTTAAAGATACAACACAACATGCTCAACTCATGATTAGACCATGAAAAGTGGGTGTTGGATAACAGAAAAGGAACTAAAATGAGCAATAAGTGAACTCAAATTAAATAAATCACCAGGATCAGATGGCTATACGGCAGAATGGTACAAGGAGCTAAAAGAAGAGCTAATACCAGTGATGCTTCCTACACTGAACGGGGTCCTAAAGAAGGCACAAACACCACCCAGCTGGAAAGAAGCAATAATCTCAGTCATCCCAAAAGAAAATAAAGATAAATTAGAATGTGGATCTTATAGACCAATATCAGTTCTTAATATAGATTATAGGCTGTTTACTTCTATCATAGCTAGACGATTGGAAAAGTTCTTAACTAATTTGATACATAACGATCAGACAGGCTTTATCCGAGAGCGCCAAACGCAAGCTAATATACGACGGACATTACAAATTATTAACCACATTCAAAAGAATAAAATAACAGCAATGATAATCAGTATTGATGCGGAAAAGGCATTTGACTCAGTGGATTGGAGCTTTTTTCTGGAAAAAGGAACAAGGCAGGCTTGTGCATGTTCACCACTATTATTTGCACTATACTTGGAATTATTTGCTCAATATATAAGACAAAATAAAGAAATAAAAGGCATAAATATTTATGGGAAGGAGCATAAATTAGTCTGCTATGCAGATGATATCTTGATCTTTCTGTGCCATCCAACAAACTCTCTGCCTAAACCAATGCAATCGTTGAGCACTATGGCCAATTATCAGGATACAACATCAATATAAGTAAAACACAACTGCTTAAATACAATTATAGCCCACCAGAGGAAATCAAGAAAGAACCACCTATCATGGCAAACAGAATATTTTAAATACCTGGGAGTAATAATACCAAAGGACCTCACAGAAATATTAGAACGCAATTACTCACCAATACAAAGGAAAATTAAAGACGATATAACAAGATGGAACCTAATCCCATATTTAAGTTTTACCTCAAGAATAGAATGGATTAAAATGAATATTCTACCCAAATTATTATATTTATTTCAAACTCTGCCAATAGAAATAAGCCAAAAACAATTTAATGAATGGAATAAAATTTTGTCCAGATACATATGGCAAGGTAAAAGGCCCCGAATTCGATTTAAGACTTTACAACTGACCAAAGAAAAAGGGGATGGGGCCTTCCTTCTCTCAGGGAGTACTGTTGGGCAGCACAATTAAAGCCTATGATATGCTGGTGTAATCCCTCATATGATGCTCAGTGGAAAAGCATTGAAGCGGGCCTGACCTCCATTCCCATACAAGCAATTCTAGCTGACAGTAGCCTGCAAGACTTCATAAAAAATATAGAAAACCCATGGATCAAATTAACTCTGAAAACTTGGAAATCAGTAATAACAGAATACAAATTAGAAGATGATTTAACAACCCTTAAGTGGTGCGCATATGATCGACATTTTGCCCCAAATAAATTAGATACTCGATTCAAGGATTGGACGTAGCCTATAAAGGAATAACGGCTCTATGTAAGATAATGAAGGAAGGTACACTACTTAGTTTTGAAAGGATTAAAGAGAAATATTTACTAGAAGCACAGGATTTCTATCGTTACTTACAGATGAGACATTTTGTCAGTGACAAGATAAAATGTGTATCAGAATCAAGCAAACAGCTGTTAGACTTGTTTAAAAGGGCATATGGTTCAAATATAGATAGGGGTATCATCTCAGGTCTTTATAAAGGACTTACAAACCTGAAAACACACTCAACTGTATATATTAAAACAAAATGGGAAATGGAGGGAGGAATAGATATAACGGAGGAAGAATGGATGACAATATGGGCATATCAATGGAAATGTAGCAGCTCACAGAGTTGGAGGGAATTTGGCTGGAAAAGCCTGATAAGATATTTTATTACACCTTGCCAATGTGGAAATGCATATCATTATCATGTTTTTTAGGACTGTCAGATTATTAAAATGTTCTGGAAGGGAATACATATTGCAATACAGGAAAGTTTTGGATATCACCTGCCTATGGACAGTAAAATTTTATTTTTTGGACTCATGCCTGGAGAATGGCCAAAGAGAGACAAATATCTGTTTAGTATTTTGTTGGTGGCAAAAAGGCCCTCACGAAAAAATGGCTTTCACAGGAGAGCCCAACTCTGAACATGTGGATGGACATCACAATGGACATATGCAGGATGGAGAGAATGACAGCGGATGTGAATTACAAGAGGGTCCTGTTTAATGCACATTGGAAGAAATGGATGGACTTTATAATACCGCGCAGGCCGGATTTTGATTAGTGGCAACAACCTCATCTCACTCCCTATGTGTTAATGTTCTTGTTGTGTTTCTTTATTTGTGTTTTTTTTTTTTTTGTTTTTGTTTTTCTTTCTTTTTATCTCAGAAAAAAAGAAGACACTCAGGTTGAGACTATGTGACTAATAATTGAAGTAATGTACATAATAAATGTGTTACTGAATGTCAATAAAAAGTAAATTAAAAAAAGAAAAGAAAAGTGGGTGTTGGATCCGTAATGTGTATAATAAAAAGGTAAAGACTAGGACAGCACTCCAGTGTGACTTTTAACACCGATTTTTAACCACAACCAACTTGACAAGAACACCCCAGTCGTACTCGTCCAGTCTAGTGTTGAGCGTTTTTGGTGTTTGTGACCTACAGTATGTGAGTGACATGCAGAATGAGATTCCACCTGCCTGCACACTTGTTAGACATTAACGTGTTATTAACTGGCTCACAAAGCAGTTTCACTTCTGCAAGGCTGTTAAGAAAGAAACAAGGCTGTTAATAAGAAACCGACACTATCACAGGAAATCCTCTTGAAGTTGACTTACTGACACATTTTCTCTGATCAGCTGCTCTGATGAGGCAGGACTTCCTGTTTCTCCTCCCAGATTACTGGTTGTGTTGCTCTTGTATGAATTTCTTTCACCAGTCGGGCAGCGGAAATTGCGTTCAATGACTGTCGTGTTTCAGTGGAAATTCTGCCAAAAGGCTGGTGTTGCATCTGCTCAGCTGTTTTTTCACTGTTGCCATAGCTGAGTGGGTTGAGCCCGGAACTGACACTGCAGGGGTTAAAGTGTCAAAACCTGCTCTTATTGTCTTTCTTCACACAACATTACATTCTTTTACGTCTGTTATTTTATGTTCCGTTATGTTGTGTTGTTACAATAGATTATATAATTTTTTTGTAATCATATTTTTTACATTATCTTATTGTGTTAACATGAGATAATGACAACAATTAACTAAATCTAACTCATAAGATGTAAATGGAGTAGTGTATTCTAGTCTTCTGACCACTCAAAGTGCTTTTTACACTTCATATCACATTCACCCATTCACACGCTAGTGGCCAAGGCCACCATGCAGTATGTCAGTAACTATTCACACGCATTCACAGCCATCAAGAGCAATTTGGGGTTCAGTATCTTGCCCAAGAAGGCTTCAACATGCGGACCAGAGGAGCCGGGGATTGAACTACTGATTTTCCGATTGGTGGACGACGCGCTCTACCTTTTGAGCCGCCCGGGCTGTCCTTGATTTTTATTTGTTTTCATGATATGCTGATTTTTATTTATTTGATGACGTGAAAAGTCATCAAAAAGACTTTGAAAATCAAAATCAAATCTCAAAAAGTCACTTTAAGTTGAATTGCTCATAACCTCTGCATTACTCATATACCATTGTGTTAGCAGTAGTACTATTTACAATCTGTTTCTTGCTTGTGCAGTTGCTGCGGCCAGAGGAGGTGGAGATGCTGGTGTGTGGGAGTCCAGAGCTCGACATGAGCGCTCTGCAAAAAGCCGCACAGTACGAGGGATACAGCAAGACCGAGACCACCGTACGGTAAGACGCCTGCACTTCCTGTCAACTAACATTGACCTTAATCTGCTCTGGAGGAAGTCCACACATACTTCACACTCACTGCTCATACAGTGACTCACACCACCTCCCATTCCGTTTTAAGAAACTATGACACAGACATTTGCAAAATCTTTTTCCAGGAATGTTACAATTCGTAGAATTCGTGATTCAGTGCGTTTTTGATACAAAAGTTTATTTATTTATTTATTTATTTATTTATTTATTTAAAACTAAGATCATAAAGTATGATCTCTTTTCACTTTAAACAATGATGGAGCTATACCTGAGAGACTTGTCCTCTCCTTAGCAGCATATAAAACAAAAACATCGTAGTTATCAACTCAGTTCAATTCACTTTCATTTTAGTTATAACGCCCAATATCACAAACCACAATTTGCCTCAGAGGGCTTTTCAGCATACAACATCCCACTGTCCTTAGGACCCTCACAGCGGATAAGGAAAAAACTATCTTAGAACAACCCTTAAATGGGAAAAGAAAATGATAGAAACCTCAGGAAGAGCAACTGAGGAGGGATCCCTCTTCCAGGACAGACAGACGTGCAATAGATGTCGTACAACAGTTCTGAAATGTTCTTTTTTTTTTTTTCTTTAAATTTCTAACATCATCATAATATCATAATTTGGGCTTTGAAGGGGTTTATTTTTTTGTACAAAGCAGGAATTACAGTCTGCCTGAAATGCACTCCTGAAGGAATATGGTAACAGGTCCTGAATACATGAAGCATGTTCATAAAGCCTGTGTTTTCCTCTACAGAGTCTTGTATCCGTGGCAATAAATCTAAGGCAACAAATGGCCACAGTGATTTCTTTTGCTTAGTGGGGAATGGCTGCCTAAACACTGCAGGGGTGATGTTAGCGCGTAGTGTTTGTGTTGCTCACACTGGGGTGATGACAGCGTAAATGAGTTGAGATGTTTGGCCATCGTCCCCATAATTAACAGTGGAATTAAAGTGGCCCCAAACACCAGCCCTACAGGTTATTGTGTGGTCTGGTGATGGTGTTACTAACCATCATGGAATGACCCAGTTTAGCATAGCTGCCTCCCAGCGTGACTCACTGGAGTAAAATGTTTTGGTTTAGGGGTGGAACGTTATATTAAACACAGTTTAAGCTGTATATTTCAACTTCCAAATGCCATGGGATCAGTTTGACAAATTGTTTGGTTTGTAATGCGCACTGAACAGAAAGCCTTGTACCGAACGGCTCAATACAAACTAACAGACTGATTCCACTGTGCAGTAGAAAATCACTGTCCAGCTTTTGTTTGATAGTGAGGACAGTCTGCTTATTTTAAGTTGCAATTCTTATTTTTAACAAAGTATACAACTCAAAACATCAGTGGTGCTCGGCTCCTTTATCTTGCATTGCTGCATGGGACTGGAAAATAGAATTGTGGCCTCGTTGTTTTCTCTCAGCCAGTGTTTGATTTTTCTATTCAAGTGAAAGTCAGTGATGATTGAGCAATGGTTTGCAGTGTGTTTCAGCTGCAAGGCTGTAACAGGAAGTTACTCTCTCTCTCTCTCTCTCTCTCTCTCTCTCCCCCTCTCACACAAACACACACACATAAACACACACAAACACACACAGATGTCCTTCAGTCCTTTTGTATTTCCTGCAGTAGGGCATGAAAATGAGCCAGCACTTGCCAGCCACAGATAAAGTAACTCAGCATGGCGGTGACAGCTGGCAACAAGCAGCTGCAGGCTTGTTATGTAACTTCTATTCAGTCTGTCTGTCCGTTCGTCTCTCTGTCTGTCTGTCTGTCTGATTGTCTAGCTTTCACCTGATTCACCTGTTTCTTAGTCTGTCATTTTAGAAACTTACTGCATGCAAACAGTCTGGCTCTTTGTATTCCTTGTTCGCAGGGCAATCGTTTAACGGTAATTTTACGGTATTTAACAGTTAAAAAAAGCACATTCATTTGGAAATGAAAAGCTCCACCCCAGTATCACACTGCACTGTCGTCCTCCCTGCAGCAGCTTCGATCATGGTCACACTGAGGCCTCTTTGCAGCAACAAAATACATATTTTTTGTGTTGCACAGGTGTTTCTGGGACGTGGTGTTGGCCTTCCCTCTGGAGCTCCAGAAGAAGCTCCTGCACTTCGCCACAGGAAGTGACCGCGTTCCCGTCGGAGGAATGGCCGACCTCAACTTCAAAATCTCCAAGATCGACGTTTCAACTGACTGGTAGGTTCCAGAGCTGACACCAGAACTCAGCTGGGTCACGGACAACTTTAAACATGCGTAAAAGAACCTGTTGACACAGTGCTCCTGGGAGACACTATTCACACTTGCTTTAATATATTGCTGCCAGATTACCCAGAAGCTGAATAAAGGCTTTGCATTTTTTTAACTGCTTCAAACAGGCTACACTGAAGCAACACAATGAGAGAAGAGCATGGCCTTACACATAACTGTCAATATCTTACACAAACACACACAATCTACAGACTAAAGAATGTGACAAAGTCACGATGACACAACAACAGCCTTCACTGACTCCTCACTTTCTGATTTGATTATCTAAAGTTTGAGTCGCCCTGCAGAAACAGCTGGTCAAGTATTGAAGCAACAATATGCAAGAATTGGGATTTTGGGGATTTGGCGCCCCTACAGTCTCAGGGTGGTACACCACTGTCGTAAAACTGTCCAATTCCATCTGCCATATACATAGTGTGCCCAGTGTTTGAATGTCACTTTTGGCATCCGGAGAATTCCAAAACTCTGTATGACAGGGATGACACCAATAAGGTTACAGCCTATGTTGCAATCCCTTTTTCAATTTTTTTCATCCCTATTTCGAACTGTCAACATGCATTAGCACACAGAATCATGCACATGCAGATGATGCCTAAGAAAAACAAAATGAAAATCAGTGGCAGCAGTCAAGCCAGCGTCATGTGTGACATGGTGCCGTAAAGCGTCACACACTTATCCCAGGCAACCTGACCCGCTCACAGAGTTACATAGTGCAAGAACAGGTGTTCAGGGCATGGAGTGGAAATGAAAGAGGCCCCTTTCTCCCATGACGAGGCGTTACTATCAAAATGACGTCTGGTCTTTGTAGGTGGCGCTGACCAGATTGTAACCGCAGTCTGCAGGAGATAAGACACACTGTTGTACTTTAACCACAAAGACCATGAATCTGAGTCAAACAGTGAATAACTGCCCCACCTCTTTTCTTTTACACACACACACACACACACACACACATTTTTTTGTCTGTCCATTCCTGTGTGGAAATCATGTCTTCCCAAGCCCTTATCCTAACCTTAACCATTATAACTAAAGGCCTAACCCTTTGCCTGTGCTTCTGCACCACTTGCTGCACTGTCAGAATGTAGGCCGCCTCTCTTCATGAGCATGTTGAGTCGGCAACAATGGAGTCCATCAGCAAATGAAATCGAAACGAGAAACCGAAAAGGACAGTAAACAAAAAGCTAATATCAAGAGGGAATGAGACCAAAACAAAAAGGTAAAGGTAAGGTAAAAATATATGTCTTTAGCCATTGAGCTCTTTGTCAGAAACATTTTGGGATGGTTTGTGTTACTGTTCACTGGTGCACTGTAAATATGCTTTGTTTTTTCAACACTGGATTGTGTTGTTCATGTGCTAACTAGCTAATTAGTGTCAAGGCGGTATTCCGGTTTCCGTTTTTGAATGACGAACAGACAACTACCGTCTCCTGGTGTAGACGCAGGCGCAAAACCGACATGCTGGTCGGGCGACGTGAGGCGACGCAGCAGGGGGCCTCCAGCGCTGCTAGCTCTCTGAAGTCAGTTTGGTTGCTCATTCATTCAGTCATTAATTTTTCTGTAACCGCTGGAGCCTATAACAGCTGACACTTGGCGAAGGGCTGCGTGCACCCTGGACAGGCCGCCAGACTATTGCAGGGCTGACACATAGAGACAGACGAACATTCACACCTACGGACAATTTAGAGTCACCAGTTAACCTGCATGTCTTTGGACTGTGGGAGGAAGCTGGAGTACCTGGAGAAAACCCACGGGGAGAACATGCATACTCCACACAGAAGGGCTCCCCCACCTGGGTTCAAACTAGGAACCATCTTGCTGTGAGGTGACAGAGCTAACCACTGCAACACCATACCACCCCTTAAACCCAACCTGAACGTTATTCTAATCTGAACTTTCAAACCAAGTCTTAACCCTCAAACAAATCGAAGACTGGCTCAAATGTCCTCCATGAACCATTAGGGAAATGTTAAAAATGTTCAAACTTTTACAGGTAAATGTTTCAAAACATATCATATCATCCTTTCTCTCTGTGTCTCTGCAGGTTGCCGATCTCTCACACCTGTTTTAATCAGATCTGTCTGCCTCCGTATCGAACCAGGAAGGAGCTCAAACACAAACTCACCATCGCCATCTCCAACGCTGAGGGCTTCGGCTTGGAGTGACCAGCCCACACACACACACACACACACACTCACACTTTCACACACACAGCCTATTAGCAACACTAGCTATCCGTCACAACTGCCGCACTGCACATCATGCATCTCTGTGGTCGTGGATCAGACTGTAGAGGAAACAAGGTTCTCAGCAAATGGGTTCTAATGTCAGACAATATTATCATGGACTGTAACGCAGTTTGTGTTGTTATTTTGGAGTCGGGCTGATGTTTGCTCATGTCGATGTTTTTTAAATTTGCAGCAGATGTGGGAACATTCCCTGCAGAAAAACAGAGAAATACTAGAAATCCTTTATTTGCACATGGCTGTCTTAGCTCTTTGATAAGACAACCCTGAAGGCAATTATATTTTTGAGTTTGAGAAGATAACTTTCAGTGTCAGCCTTCCAGGAACTCCACTGATCAAATCACAGTCACAGTTTCATAAACTAACATTTAAATATATCAGGTCCCATACCATTAAAAACATATCAGTATATATGTTTTTTTTTTAAACCTTGTATCACTAAATGGTTAACTTCTCTTAAATTATAATAGGTTGATGCTTTGCTCAGGTAAATATAATCAATATAACTATTTTTTTAACAGATTACCAGGTACCTGCCGACCAATGACATTTACTTTTGTGACACTCTTTTCAATGAGCCTCTATTATAAAGTCCTGATAACTGAGGCAAAAATCAGGCGTGAGTTCAAAATACATATCCTCAAATTACTTACATTAAACTAGCAATATTAACACCCCTGAGTGTGAGGTAAAGAAATAATAAGAGGTAGAACAGTGTCAGTAAAAACTTAAATTTTGGAGGGTACTCGAGATTTAATATGTATGTTTTGATATTTCCTGTTTTCTGTCAATTCTGACTTCACTGCTTTGGTGACTTTTTGAATATATTTTAATGAATGCATAGGAAATGTGTTTTATATCATTTAGCTTAGCACATGATCAGGACATAAAGCTTTGCTGGGAGAAGAATGCTATCGTGTATCATGAGATATAGATTGTCTTGTGAGGTTTTGTTGTTTTTTTTGACATTGCCGCCTGTTTAACTGAACAAAAGGCTGCAGCAGAAATGTTTGTTTTAATTGTTGTAATATTATGGTACGGTTGAACCAGAGCTGTTGATTCACAGTTCGGTGTTTGTTTAGGTTCTCTTATGTTGTATTGTTGTATCATGGCTGCCGTGAGGCTGAGAGATGAGCAGCTGGTAGATGTTGACTGGTAGTCGAGTGTTGAGTGTACAGAAAATGAAGCAGGATGGGAAAGAGGCCATCTTCTTGATGTCCTGTTCTGTTTCTGTATGTACATGTAGGTGAATTGTCAGACTAGTTATTTGAGGTTTGAGATGTTTCAGTGATTTTAGCTTCAGTACTTACTGATTATTACATTACACCATACACACAGTCCTGCAAAGCAGCGTCAGTTAAGCACCTACTTGTGGCATTTAGTGCTTATAGATTTCCTTATTCATCCAATCTTGGAAACACGACAACATATGTCCATAAATCCAAATGACCACATCATTTCTTGCTGCCAAAGGTGGTCATAGATTTTATTGCAGCAATATATAAAATGATTCACATTGTCTGCCTGCATCCTTACTTAATGGAAACGAGTGTCTCCAACCCAGTCACCAGAAAAAATGTTGGCATCATACGTGCCTGCAAACCATGTTACATTTGCACCGTATTATGTAGCAGATATATTGAAACTTTACGTTGCAACAATGCTGTAGTTAATGTGTGGTTATGGTTAGGAAAAGATCCTGTTTTGGCTTAAAATACCCAGTTTTGGGGGGCACAATCCCAACCAGAAGTGCAGTGATTTATCTGTAAAAAAAAAAAAAAAAAAAACAGCTTTTTGTAGCACTATATCTGCTGGACAAACACTGACGAGTTGCGAAAAAACACCCACATTTGGTGCCTAAAAAGCTGTTGGAAACACAGCAGTGACTTGCTTAAACATAACCAGTTTTGTTCTGTTGGTCTCAAACAGTGGTCTGCAGCTCTGCAGGCATCTCACCAAGGTGTCCCACCATCCACCATCCCCTCTACCTCCAGATGACAATATCAGCTCAAATACTACTTCACTTTAGATACGTTGGCATGACACTAATGAAACGTGCAAATGTAACTGTGTTCATGGTTGGAAGAAACGTATAATGCCAGCATTTTCTCGTGTGTAACTGAGCTCTCTTCTCAGTCTTCAAAGATAAAATATGGGAAACAAAACAACTCTAATAACTGTAGTTTGAGGACGACATCATGGGCCATTTGCTTTTTACATGTGCTGTGTTCAGTATAAATGTTTTCACCTGCACTCAGTGCAAGTCATGTTTTTTTTTCTCCTCTTGAATTTTAATTTTCTTTTCAGTGGGTGCTGCAAAAATCAGTTAATATGGAACTTCACGAGCAGAAACAGGTGCTTCTTGTTCTTGTGTTTTCATTGTGGAGCTTGTACTCAGTGTGTTTACATGCACTCAGTAACCAGGTTACCTAGAGAAACACATTTGCATGCACTTATGTAACCTGGTTACAGTAAATCAGCTTGTACATGCAGGACACCAGCAGTCAGAGTCAGAGTATCAGTTAAACTGTCTGGTTAGAGGTCACGGTTTCCTGCCTTTACAAACTTTCAGATTTCCTGCAGTGTAAGATAACTTATTTAGACTTTTTGTCAGACTTTATATGGAGTTGTAAAATAGAAAATCACATTGCTACATGTAATTTTATTTCTTGAATCCACCTGCTCTGCTGTCACTTTTACAATTAGACACCCAGTTATCTGTACACATGGCAGAGAAATTAACGTTCTTGAGATATCTAGCCAGAGAAACTAGCTTCCTCCAATGTTCTACCCCAATGACAGAAACCATGTTCCTGTGTTACATGACATCAGCTTATGCCTAGTTCACACTACACAACTTCAGCCCTGATTTTTCTCTGACACTTTTTGTGGCTCAGTGGTAAAATCCCCACATCAGAGGCAAATTGGTGCCTGCAAATCTGGACACGTTAGCAATATGTGAACTGTTCAACGATGTAAGCAGAGACACATCGCAGACTCTACACACCCTGTTGACAGACAGTCACGTAGTGTTAAAACCACAACTTCAAGATTCCCAATTACAAGACAAGAAGGTGTGTTGTGTAAAGAGTCAAGGTGTCGTCATATAATAATTAGTATATCTTAGAATAATTGCCCCATGGTTGACGTTAGGTACCGTATAAAGTAACTTTTTTTTTACTCCCATCAACGCATTGGTTCTGTGATCGCAGCCTTCCTGATTACATTGGTTATACACCCATTACTGGCTCTTAATTACTTGGGATATGTACAATTTACGGTGCATTATTTTTGTATGCTTATGTATGAATAGTGTATGAGAACAGCCAGGAACAGTACAGCTATCTGACAACTTTTAATGTTACGTAACGTGAACTAGGCCTGACAGGAGAAAGCCGACTGTAAACTGGTACTGAGTGCATGTAAACGCATTTAATGTGAAGCAGCTAAAAGAGGCCTCTCTAGTTGCTTGCACAGCATCAGACCTCACTGAGCTTTGATAGTGCAGCCAAGTGGAACAGTGAGGTTTGGCTTTTGTGTGATAATTAGCGGTAGCCAAAAATGCGTCGAGGATCCAATGAAATGGAAGTGCTCTTCCTCTGGTGAAGCTTTATGTAACTTTTTGGCTCTCAAGTCACTGCCAGCTCTTGTCTGGAGCTGAGCAGCGCTGGTTTTAAACACTCAGCATTGTCCTATATATGGTGGGTTGCCATGGTAAGATGTCTAAAGTCCTAAAGACGAACTGGCAAAGACCCAGAAGTAACCAAGCAACGGCAAAGCAGCTCACATCAGTCTGATCTGGGTCACTCATTGACTCGGTCCCGCTTAGTGTCCATGGCTGCTTAACAACAATGGGTCCTTTCTGTCATTTAACGACAAGTTCAGAGCAACAGCAGGAGCCAGAAGAGACTCTTCTCCAAGCATCTGCTCAAGGACATCACACAACATTCACATCACGTTGGACTCTTTGTACAAACAAGCTGCTGACTGGGAGAAAAATGTCAGCGTCCTCCTGCTAAATCCAAAAAGGACATATTTTATGGTATGAAATGGGAGATGATGTCGCAGGAACTCGTGCTTGGACAAATAGATTTTTTTTTTATTTTGAGATGTTTATCAGGTGTGTTATTTGTAAATGGGACCAAACTGTGCAGGTTATACAGTGGAAAGGTAGCTGGAAGACCTGGGCAAAAGTCTGTTTGAAAATAGTTCAAACTGATTGTAAGAATTTGTTGAGATGTAATTATTTTCACTTGTCAGATGTTTTGAAAAGTGCAGACAGCACTTAAAAGTCGAAAGGTCGTGTATGTCTGATGCTTCTCTTTTTTATTTAACAACCATAAACCTTCAGGTTCATCAGTATCTGTTAAATGTTGTGTACACTAAGTTCTGTTTGATTTTAACATGTGTTGCGACAGTTTGTAATGATTCTATCAGTGACCACATATACTGTGCTTCTCTGTCGCGCTAGTCTTGTGTAATGTACTGTATGTACTGCATCTACAGTAAAAGTGGGCGAGGGGTCATTGCTCTCGAAGAAAAAGTTTGCTGACTGTGCTCGTTTTTGTTCAAGACACCTGCTTATACAGTCCATGCACATCCTGTTATATTCACACTTGGAGCTACACACAACAACCACAGTCTTCTGCTGTTTGTCAGTTACTAGTTTTTTTCTACACTCAGTTTCCATAATGACAAAGCAAAAGCAGGATTTTATTTTGCAAATTTATTTAACAGAATAATACGAAATGACAAAAGACCCTGCTGTGACACTTATAATTGAGTTCAGGTGCCTCCCATTTCTCTTGATCATGTTTGAGGTGTTGCTTCACCGTGATTGGAGGCCACCTGTGGTAAATCAGCTGATTGGACATGGCACACACCTGTCTGAGGGCTCAAAGCTGACAATGCAGAGCAGAAACTCTACAGCTCAGAGAGAGGATTGTGTCCAGGCACAGATCTGAGGCCACAAAAAATTGTCATTGAAGGTTCTCAAGAGCAAAGTGAAAGATGTTTAGAACAACCAGGCCTCCTAGAGCTCCTCCCAGAGTTTAAACTGCGAAAAACAAGATTATCAAATCTGAATACTGAATTGTTTGGCCTCACTTCTGAGGGTCATGTCTGGAAGAAACTAGGCACTGTTCATCACCTGCACAGTGAAGCATGGTGGAAGCAACATGCTGGTGTTTTTCAGCTGCAGGGACGAGGGGGGACTGGTCACATTTGAGGGAAAGCTCAGTGGAGCACAGTACAGGAATGTGCTCAATGAAAATCTGGTCCAGATAATACTGATGTTTCAGCTTCCTTCTTTTTAATGAATGTGCAAAAAAAGAATCCTCAAATTCTGTTTTTACTGTGTCATTTTGGGGTATTGAGATTGATGATGTGGGGAATCAATATAAATAAATTGAGCTTCAGCTTAACAAATGTGAAGAAAGTGAAGGAGTCTGACTTCCAGGGTCGGAGCAGAGGGTGGCTTCTGGGGCTCCAGTCCCTAGTGTGTCCTCAAAAGCCCCAAATCTGTGCTATTCCCTCAGGCAGGGGTTTTAAATGTTTTTCAGGCCAAGGACCCCTTAGCTGCATGTTTAGCGAAGCAGATGGAGGTTGTCGGGCAGAGGGCCACATCAGCCCCAGCATGCAGTCTTGACTTGTATTTGCTTTTCATGTAGGTGAGGAAGGAAACTTTTAAAAAGTTATTTTATTGGCAATTCAATAAAGGTATACAGAGTATAAATAAACAAACACAGAACCAGAAAGGACATAAAGACCATCAATCACCCATCAACACAAGAACTAACAGAGAAAGCCAGACCAGCCAAAGAAAATCCGATCCAGAAGAAAAGAATAAGAAAGCGACAAAAAAAGCGACATAAGTAGGGGAGTATAGGGTGTTTCGTTAAAACTTGCAACTTCCGTATTTCCCACAAAAGTTAAAAATGGTTGCCAGGTTGCAAAGAAGTGTGTCGTTGATCTTTTGATAAAACAACAGATTTTCTCCAACTGTAAATGATACATAACATCCTTAATCCAATGTCCACTTTCACAAAGTTTTTGTTGAAAATGAAAAAAACATTCAATCAAAATACTCTTTCAGAATGATGAAGACCAACACATTCTCACTCCCACCTTGTCACATATCGATATTTGGTCATGGACTTTCCACGTCTAGATACGACGTGCAAGGTACCCTGGGTGTGTTGGTTGCTGACGTTCTGGGACACAATGTCAACTTGAGCCTGTTACATGCATTGTCCTCTTTCAAAATACACTACCAATTTTACACAAGCACCTTTCTCCCGGGTGAAAGTCTGTGTTTGCTGGACCCATCCACCACCCCTCCTGCCCGGCCCACTTGGACTTTGATTGCTTTAACTTTTCGTTCTTGTCCCACCGCTTTTCCCGGCCAGGTATCATGCTAACGTTACAGGATGGCTTTTTCCGGGCGGTGTCTGATGCCGCAAGTCACTGCTTAAGCACCAGATTTCGACGACTTTGAGCGAGACCAAGTTGTGAAGACAGCTGGAGAACCCCCCCCCCCCTTTGGAAACTATCATGTTTTTCCCAAATGATACAGATTTTTAGTATATTCTACCATCTCAGATATCTTGAAAAATGGTGCTTAAAGCTGTTGTATATGGGGAGAAATCTCATTGGACAACCCCAGGGTTTGGGCTTAGCCTGAATGTTTGCAACATCTTACCCCGAACCTGCTGAATTCCTTCTGAATGCACTGTAAATAATACTTTCACACTCCCATGTCTTTATTTGTTGTAGAAAACAAGGTGCC